GTGTTTAAATGTATGCTTATCCTAATTTAACTTTGATGTACTTACCGAATTAAACATTAGAAATTATATTATGAAGGATTTTGATGAGCCACGGTGGTTATATTCAGTTTTTAATTAAACGTAAAACGCGTTATTATCGCATATTATATAGGTACTGCACGCCAAAAGTAATTTACAGGAAATATACGTATTCTTAATTATAAACAAATAGGTACCGTCGAGTCCCTTGAAAAGTTCTTTCGAGTGACAACCGCGTCTATTCCATCCGAAGCAGGTTTATTGTAAAATATATATAATGTTTTTATTTTATGCCATCAAACGCAGCTACATTCCCAAAGAAATAACATAAAATACTTAAACGATAAAATATGTTTAAATGGACAACTAGATTTTTTTTCTTCAATATTAAACTTACCAAAGTGTGTTTCGACATAGTATACTTTGGAAAATTGATTACGTTACCGATATTTTCGATTATATTTAAAATTTAAATTCAAAAATGTCGTTTTATTTGACGGCATTCGGTTGTCAGGTATTCTCGTTTTAAATGTTTTAATAAAAATATCTTCTTTGTATATAATATAGGCGCATTGGATATATAATATATATATTCAATCATAAATTAATATATAAAACCCATTGGAAATTTCTTTGTCGGAAATAATATTTTAAATTATTGTTAAAGTTTTACCTGGTTTTCAAACACGCAGTCTATGTATTTCTGTAAAACTCTTTTTTTTTTAAATTAGTTATTACATTTACGAAGTTCTAAATTTATATAACACTCTTTAGCCTCTGAAGTGTGCAGTACACGTTTTGTCATATTTTTATTTTATAATATAATTTATGGACGCGGTGTGCTCTGCATGTAATTATTAGTAAGGAGCCAATAAACTGGGTAGAAAAACTGGTTTTCCGATATAGACAGTATTATCGGTAGCATTAGTACGTAACATTTGCAAGTTTGGCATAAGATAAAGCGAAGAATTACGGCTAATTAAACTTTTTATCTCCCATAGATATTTATTTAATAAAACATAACTTCCAAAATAAATTAGTACATTATTTTAAATCGACAATCAATACAATATTGCCTAGTTCTTTTATTTTTGTACATGTTTCGCCAAAAGTTCTAAGATCTATTGCATCGTAAATGTAAATAAAGTAAACGTGTCACAATATTTTTCTAAAATGTGTAATGTGAACCACTGAACTTAACAAAATTGTTCGAATTTGTCAATACCAACACATAACAAACACCGAGTTAATTAAAACGTGTCCAAAACATCAAAATGTATTCACATATATTATAATCATGTATACAATTATGTAACGCTGAGATATTTGAAACGATTATGATATTATGGTGGTACGTAAAACTGCATAATTTATCTGTTATTTACACAAACAAATCGTACCTATGATCTTTCAGAATTTTATTGGGATGACAGCTAATGATTTTAGAATGTAGTCGTAAAGTTTTCGTTGTAAGATTTTGAAGCTTGTTTTATATAGTTAGTAATTTTGTGTGAATTAAAAATATAATTTAATATGCATCTTCAAAACGAAATGATTGAAATATTTTATTTGTCAGCCCTCAATACTTAAAAGTGATGGTATGTATATAGTTTATTATATATACTGACGTTGTGGCTCTATTCAGCAATAAAACAAAAATAAATGTGTAAAATGAAAAGTACAAATCTTTTAAATAAACCACAAACGGAAACAGTGAACAAAAATTAATGTATTTTATTTACACGATATTCTATCTTAACAATTGTTACAAAATATTGAGTTTTAAAATAATTTTTTCATTGATATTTGAGTAATATTATTAAGAATGGGAAATATAGAGACTAAAAATAAAATTTAATAAAAACTCAATGTATTTACACTACAATATTATTCTTAAAAAATATATTCATATTTTAATATATATATTTTGGACTTAAATATCAGTGTTTGAAACATTTTTAAAGGTGCACGATAAAATAAAAACAATTTAACCATAAAATGTACCGGTACTAAAAAGAAACACTGCATTTTCTTTATGATATTTGATTTCTCACAAAAATAAGAATATAAAAGAAGACTGATGCTTATCAACTGATCAGTATTTATCACATAAAATTGAATAATGAATTTATCATTGCAGGTACAGCATTTTGTGATTGTAAATATATGTTCAGCAGTACCTATTTTAAGAATAAGTAAACATTAAAGCGATTGTAAGGTTAACATTTATCAGCATAGAGCTGGCTCGGTGTTTCACTAAAAAGAAAAGTCTCCGAAAACAATAAATTAACGTCGTTTAATATTATTCTTCGCAACTCGTATTTTTCGCTGGAAACAATCCTAAAGAGAATTTTTCGAAACTACGGTCCATAAGTCGTGTTGTCACAATTTCCTTTTTTTTTTTTTTAACAATTGCAGCTTTCTACATTATACTTTAGCAAGCACTCGCGCTGAGTACAATATACCCAAATTGATTTATACGAAAGTCTTGAGAGCCAAAAATACAGAATTTCTGAAAGTGTTTTTTTTTTATCCACAATTATACTTTTCTACTTAACGGTGAAGACGGAGGAGGATCTGTAACAATGAGTAATTAAATGCGTTACTACGTCGTTCCATCGGACGGAACGACTAAAATAGTAACGTCGGTGAAATGTGGATAAACTCATCGCATCGAAGAAATCATACGTAAACGGTGCAAAATTGGTAGTATAATATTTATATATTGCGAGATGAAACCAGTGAAGCCAAATCCAAAGAAATTCCGATAAAGTGCAGTTTCAATACTGAAATTTCCAAGGGTGCCAAGTTTTTTTTTCGGAAATCGCTGTCCAACTTTTACTGTTATCAAAGTTATTATTCACAAGGTTTTCACGGCATAGTTTAAAGATTCCACGAATCCACGTTGAGTGTAAAACTCTATGTGACGACCGTGATTTAAGCATTACCAACGCGGTCGTCGTTATAACCGCGTAACCGAATACCGCTTGACACCCTCGCTCCGATAACCGCGATATTGTCTGTCACTCAGACACGCTCAATCGTAAGACAATTTCGATCGTCGTCGGCTGTTATCTTCGTGCGCTCCACATGGCGTTGGATTATTGATATCATAAATCAAGCCATTCTCTAATCACCGTCAGTGAGTGCTATAATAATAAGTCATAGTAGTCGTGTACTTGTGTGCAACCATGGATAAACATTCCAAGAAAGAGAGTCTTGTACGAATATTTGTGAACCCCATCGTCATCACCTCCTGCAGCCGTCCGACCGTCGGCCGTTTCCGAATAAGATTACGCGCCGGCCATCGCATCGAGTTTCAAGGGGCGAGGTGCGCATAATTTCATCGTTTCACCAATATTAATCACTAGTGACCGTTGTTTAAAATTAATTGTAGCTGCCTACGTTTAATATTTGTGTGCTCGTATATAGGCAGTGCACATAGCCGCTTAGGGATTTCAAATTCAAGTAACACTCTTTGGTAAAATACTGCAGCCTACAGCTTGCCACCGACGACTAACAAATGAGACTATTTTTAGTACCTACCTGTTTAACGTGTACTATATGATATGAACTATAAACTATCATTATGAATTGTTATTTTTGTCTTCTGTATAATACGCTAGATTTGCATTTTGCAATGGTATTGGTATTATAGTCGGTAACGGTGTTATTTGGTAGGGTGCGAAAGGCGTTATATTCGTCATAAAAACGAAGAGTTTAAATTGTTAATATTTATTATTTATTGCTCTATGTATTACACGCTTAACGTCAACAATTCTACTGTTTAAACGTGGAAACTTTCACCGCAGTTTCTGCACAGAAACTTAAAACCCAATATACCTACATATAAACGGCTAACGATAAACAAATACTATATTTCACCCTTGCAGGGGTGTTCGGTATTAGCTAGACTTTGCATTGCAAAATTATATTAATATGAATATTGTATACTCATAGTTGGACTAAATAATAATTAATTCAATAATCCAATATCATATTTTGCGTCGAATCAAATTGTTCGTGAAAAGGTTCTTATATTATACGATAGTTATAACTTATAAAATATTTTTAACAATTGACCCAAAAAGTGCATACTTGAATAGTTTAATAAACTTAAATTAGAGAAGTGTTGACGGTCGGCTTAAGCAAACAATATAGGTACTCTTCGGTAATTATTATACTTAGTTAATGAATGTTTCTTATCAGTTTAAGCAATGTGTATAGCAACTAGTATTAAAAATCCGGAGAAAGATATATGAATAAACTTGTACGTGTAAATATGTTTGTACAAAAATAAATCTTACTTAGATAGCTATTTTAAAGCAGAGAATTCACCCTGCTTCTCCCCCAAAGAAATCCGCGGTAGTCGTATAGTAACATTTTCGAAAAATAATAAAAGACTCTCCGTCGGAAGTGCACACCCGACCAGTCCGCGCCTGCCCGCACCGACATTCGGTCTGTGCGTTCCAAGTGGATCGGTGAACTTGAAAACCGGAAAACCGGAAGAAAACTTGGAGATGGAGCGAAAGGGTATTTGTCGCTCAGCACACGCTTGTCGTAGCATATTTTATTATTCGGATATGTACGACGACGACCAGAGAGCGCACTTAGAGCGAATCATGCGGTGGTGGAGGCTCCGCGGGGCACTCCCACTGAACCCCGAGCGCCGCTTATGTGTACGTGCACCGCCGCCGCCGCCACCTGCATAGCTGCCGCCACCACTTCATCTGACAACCTGCGACGGCGGCGGCGGCAGCGTCGTCGTCGTCGTCGGTCACTGAACTATCAACAGCACTCGCACGCACCAACGCACGCACGCACACGCTTACACGGCGGCCGGATCGTAGTCGTATTATAGTGTTTGTTGTAGTAGTATTAGTAGTAGTGTAGTAGTATCTCTCTGTATCTAGTAGTATTAGTATTAGTATTATTATTATTATTAATAGTAGTAGTAGTAGTAGTAGTAGTTGTAGTAGTAGTAGTAGTCGCCGTCGTCGTCGTAGTAGCTTACCTGCCGCGGTCGTCGTCGTCGTCTTCTGCGTGCGTACCATCGCCGGCCGGCCGACGTGTCCGTGTGAGACATCTGTGCTCCAGTGGTGCAGTCATCGTGGGTACGCGCACGTGCACAGAACGCATACATAATAAATATATTATTATAACAGCGATAGTAATTTATGTGTATATGTTATATTTATAAACAGTCGAGTTGGGCGCGCGTTCGATCGGTCTACATTATTCTATACTGTATGTACGCGCGTTTTTCTATAAAAGTATTTTCCTGTCGTCGCGAAGTTAGACATATTGGTTTTAAAATTCGCCCGTGAATTATCGTCGTGCTTTCCAACATCTGAAAATGCGTCTCGCCGATCCGAGCCCCGAAAATCCCACCGCGGTATAACGGTGGCGGCGGCGATGTACCACCTGCCGGAGCAGCATCACCACCGACATGTTCCACCGTCGCAGTGCCGTCACTTGACGACCACCGGCCCTCGGCGGACACGGGTCGCACTTGAACCACCACCGCTTCCGCCACCGCCGTCGTCGATACAAACATCTATTGGAGTCGTCTGTTTTCGTGAACGTGCCACGACATAATATCATACGACATACGACGACACACCTATATATAAACATATATAATCTTTACAACATGGACGTGTTCAAGCTCGATCAGTCGTTAGCGGCGGGGCTGGGAGGCGCACCGTCCGCCGATAAGCTGACGGCCGACGTCTCGTTTGGCGCCGGCACCACGGAGGAGTTCAACCTGAGCTTTTTCGATGACACGACCACAGACACGGCCGGCTCGGAGAGCCACGACCCGCCAGCCCAGGGATTCGGCGACGAGCCCTGCACCTCCGTGGCCATGGACACGACCACGTCCACTCCCGCGGCCGCTTTCCGCGACGTCCGCGTCCAATCTCCGTGCACCAGTTCCACGTACCGGCAGCCCACCGCTTACGTTGGCCACGTGGCCACCTCTCAACCACCTCCCCCTCCGCCGACGGCTGCCGTCACCAACTCGACGCCATCCTCGTCCACCACCGCACCAGGTCAGTGTTCGAACCGAGCGCGATTTTCTATTTTCCCGGTCGACCCTTACACCACACGTCATGATCGATTATTTTTTTTGTCCAACACTGTCAGTACCTAGGTAGTAGGTAGGTTATAAATAGCTACCATGCGCGAATTATTATTTTTATATTTCACCGTGATAATATAGAGAAATGTACATAACACAAACGATTATTTTACACACCTTCTGGTCACAGATGAATGGTGCGACATGCATGATTTTTCAGCGAATATGACAATTTTTATCGAGGAGTTTTAGTTTTTAACGGATAGCTTTTAACTAGCCAATTTTTATACGAAAATATCTCCATTTGCAATTTTGTGAATGCGGTTCAGCACGAGGTCTATACACTCGAACGTAAACGTGAATTTATGGATTGCCTGCAAGTCCTTAGCAGGTTGAATAACCTGTAGTCACTATAGGCAAAATATCTAGTGAATAAGCGTTCAGTCAATAATCAAGTATTTTAGTGGTAATGAACTCATTGTTAGTATCAATTTTCGTCGTGCCAATTCATAAACATTATTAGTAGGTTAGGTATTTAATTGTATGAAAAAAATAAGTTACACGCATTTTAGGAACCTTTAGGAACGCGGGTGAACGATCTCGCGGGGCCGAAAGTTTAAATGAAAATTTTGTTTTCCACCATAACTGATACTAAACTGATTATTAACTGATGTCCAAACGACATTGAAGTCAACCGTAGGATTTAAATCTTTCGGGTAAATTGTTGAGTCCACTTTTTTTTCAATTCGGGATCAGCTGCTTATCTATCAACGGTCCCGGATGTTTCAGTTTTATAGTGTCCTCGGGGTCCGGGTTCTCACGCCACTCGCTCTGCGTTTAATTTCTACCCTGCAGTATGTATACAGTATACCGACACGAACTGACTACGTGCGCTTACTTCCGATGACCGTGTGCGATACGTTTTGAAATACCTGTGCGCGCAATATATAGGTATAATAAATAATAATAATGTGCTTAAACTATATGGTTTATACGATTTACGAGGAAATACTATTTAGGCATAATAGATCATTTATTGGTATTGATATATTATTATGTAATATATGTGTAACTTTCATGTACAGTGAAAGTATATACGAAAATAATCATTCATTTTACAACCAGTATATTACACCTACGTAGCCCGTAGGATGTGATATTATTTTAATATATTATAGTATATAATATGTATGTGTGTGTGTCTATATAATATAATATTACTTGCATAGTCGCATTACGTTAAAATATTTATATTGTTTTTATTAAACCTGTACCTACGCTTTTGATTTGCATCTGACACAAACGCTATTTTGATTGGATACGAACACTTTGGTTCATATTTATAATATTTTATAGTCAAATAATAGTTATTATATCCGATGGCATAGGTATCTACTATCTACATACATTACAGTGACTATACAATTTGCTACTACTAAATTTACAAGTAGTATATTAATATAATTTACTAATTTATTATATTTTTGACATCGATACTATATTTTAATTTTTTTGTCTGTAAATTATAGGTTATTGTTTATATACTGCGATCATTTATTACCTATATTCAATTTCAATTTCTGAGTATACAACACAAGTCCCTGTTATTTATTGATTTCTAATACAAATGGATGACAAAATACATGTACAATTAATTATAATATAATAGGTTTGTTCACCCATACACTCGGCGAATACGAAATAATAATGTATAAGAATTAAAATTTATAAACGAAAAAACCTCCCTCCCGCCTCAGGCATATTCGTCGGGCTTATACATTTTATACGAACACCGAAGTTCGAGGAGTAAATGTTCAAGCCGATTTGTTCATCAGACCATGTTAAAGATGCGTCTGTCGAAACTTTTCATCGAGCACTTTCCGGAATTCATCGTAATTAGTTCGTATAATATATAATAGTCGTATACAAAGAGGATTAAAAGTTTTCGCTAAAAAGACTCGGCAAGAAGTTCGCACGAAACGTCGTCGGGACTTTTGTAGGACTTCGTCGACCGCGTAAAACGCGGCGTGCGTTGCTGTAACGATTTTTATTTTTTTTTGCCCACCCCACAAACAATCTTTCGGCTTGAAATCGTCGTCGGCGATGGGAGGGAAAAAAAATTACTATTTATCGCGATCGAAATCTATCGCGGAAAAATAATAAGTACGCGAAAACACAAGGTCGCGGTGATACAGCGAGTATAAGCTGTGCGCGTATACACACACACACACGCACACACAAACACACACACACACACACACACACACACACACACACACACACACACACACACACACACACACACTAAAGACATACGTACGGGGAACGGATATTATATACGTACAGGTACACCGTTCGTATATATATGTGATTATCTCGTGCCTGCGCATACACATGCACGTATCGATTATGCGGTTATTTTTTTCCGTGCACATTCAGCCATCCTCTATACCTATTATATTCTGTTGATCGATCATCGGCTCGCGATTGGTCAACGTTGTTGATGTTGAAGATCATTCACTTTGCTCGTGTACCGTTACCATGACTAACGCACATGAATACGTAGGTACATTCACACACGCTCATATTATATGTGTGTGTGTGTGTGTGTGTGTGTGTGTGTGTGTATATATATATTATATTTTAGTTATGCGCCAAGAGAGCACTATCCGCACCTATGTCATTGGTTACCAAAACCCCGTTCGCCGCTGGTCCCGTGCCAAACAATTTTTTTACTTGCGTAATTTAATAACATACCTATACCTACCTGCTGCAGGTTTTCATATTTGTTATTTTTTTTCCCCGTCCTAGCCTTCCGGGTAAATTTCTTTCGGTCACAGTACAATATAATATAGCGATGTTACATAGGGTATGCGCTGTGCAGTATAATATATATATATATATACATACCTACCCAACAATTTTTTTCAATTACAATATACTATGTGCATGTTTCGTCGTATCTGTATTCTACGCGTATTATAATATATAGGTACATACATAAACCAATTTAAACGTTAGAATACCGTCAAGATCATTTTGCTTAATAAATATTGCATATATGTAATCGTACAAAATCATATTATACTATAATATAATATTATTAGGTATGTACTCATGTATAGAAGGTATATGCAGGCATACATAGTATACCAATGTCTGTACATAACGGTTTAAAATTCATCCGAATTCAATTCGTCTAATAATATTATTGCACGTGTGTACTCGTACTATATATTAATACGAAAATAATATAATAATTTTCCATTCGAAACACGCGCACGCCTAAAACGCTGTGTCTATGTACGTGACTGCTATATTAATGCATATGATATATAAATATATATATTATATATATATTATGAATGCTGCATTATTAAATTAAAAATAGTAAAAAATAATTTCAATGAAAATCGCGAATTTTTTGTACTTCCTAAAATAATACGTAATTATTATAAATTATTATAATTATTGCTGGATTTTGATTTTTAGGCGATTCTCTTAACGGTGCCATATGAATAACAAACAATTTAACTATGCATGTATTATTATTCTGTATCATGGGATTTTGGAATTAAAAAAACTCAAATTAAATGCACCTCGTTGGAGTTTCAAATGTACCACCGCATACGCATTACATTAATTAATCTAGTATGTAGTATATTGTATGACGTATATAATATATTTATTGTATGATATTCAATATATTTTGTTGTACTATACCCGACAAATATTATATCAAATGGGAACAACAATAATAATAATAATATATCATCGGCGCAAGTCCGAACAAAAGTAGGTATTTAATTTTTCAACAGAGCCAAATGCGTTGTAGCTATACCTATACATATCTATCGTGCGCCGCGCCGGTCGCCGGCTCACCGCTTACAAATCAATATCAAATAATATATAATAACGCCATCCATGATGCTAATAATAATATTGTATTCTATACACTGCAACACTGCTTGAACTTTTATAATATTTATGTTTTTCCGATTTCATATTACTTTATAATGGTCGTATGCAAAAATAATAAAACATTTTTAATGAGAGTTTCTAACAATAATTGTGTTGTAGATCAGCCGTGTGACACTGTACAATAATATAATATGTGATAAATAAATATATATTCAGGATGTTTTACTAAGAAAGTGCGTCCTCCTTATATATTTTGATAACGCATCTATTCAAATTCGGATTCTCAGAATTTTTACTTAACACTTGTACTTAAAGACCATTCTTCTTTACAGTTGTTTTTTATATTTAATTTAAGGAGTGTCCGCTACAGTTTAATATAGACAATATTTTTTCAAAACAAAACCACCATTTTTACTATAAGTTGCTTTTTTTTAAACAATTTTAATGTATCTGAATCAAAATTTAAACTAGTAGTTTCAGGACTAAGTATTTAAACTATAATATAATTATAATAATTGTGATTTTACATAATTCTATTCTATATAGATAATAAATGTAATATTTAGACTAGTACTTATATTGTACTCGGATATTTTGTACAAATTACAATACGTTAATAGGTTAATATATGAATTACAGTAATTATTTTTAAGTATCAAAGCTCTCATGTCTTATAAATCTTGGTTTTATCATAGACCATTATCATTAATAACTAAACGTTATTAAGTGTAGATTCGGCTCGTTTTAATAAAGACTCATATAGGCACAATGGCACATATAATAAGTACATCAATTTTTTTAATAAAACACCTGCTTAACAATTCCAGTAAGAAAAGTAGGTTTTAATTTTAATTAAACATTTGTATAGGACTAAGTTCAGCAATTAATAATAATGTATAGATACCAAACACATTTGTATTACAAATTTAACAAGGTTTTAGTCTAACGAAGTATTTTAGGAGGTTTTGCGTTTTCAGTGTGTTCACATTTTATTTCGAAGTAAGCAATAAAAAAGTTCAAAAAGTCTCTTGTGGCGCCCATATTAGAAAC